TTGTTTCTTCTTATTTAACATGTAATGTATTAACACTCAGCATTTAAGAAAGAGAAGCCGACTCAACCAAGTCGGCAAACAATGTATTCAATTGATATATATTCCACGAACACACTAAATGCCAAAGTGACTCTCTTAGAAAGAGTCCCTCTTTGTTGTATAAATAAAATTAGGCTGCGGAATCGATTAAAAAAGAAAAGAAAATAAATAAAGAGCCCTTGTACGGCATGGAAAAAACGGTCTAAGCAACAAACTATAGAGGTGCAAGCGCTTCTATTTATAATATTATTATATTATAAATAAAATTCGGAGTAATACAGCGAGTGTTAAAAATCAAAGTGATAAAAAGAAAGAAAGAAAGAAAGAAAGAAAGAAAGAAAGAAAGAAAGAAAGAAAGAAAGAAAGAAAGAAAGAAAGAGTCGCTTGGATATTATTGATTGAATACATTGTTCATTAGTTTGTTTTTATTTTCAAATAAAGATAGTCAATAATAAAAAATAATCAATAAATTAAGCAAATTAATACGATTATCTTCTAAAATTAATTAAGTTTAAAAAATTTTTATATTATATTAGTGTTGAATGTAATTATAAATTTTACTTTATTTTTAGATACAATATATGTTAATTGATATTTCAGATTATAATTTAAAACAAATAAATGTTAAATTAATGCCTTTAATAATAATAATATCCTTTCTCAATCTTTATAATTTTACTAATAGTTTGCAAGACCAAATTAATATTAAATTTGGTTTTTGCAGAGCACTCAAAGTACCCCACTGCTCCAATACTTTGTGCAAATTTGATAGCTTCTTCCGTTTCAATAATTTTTTTCCCATTTGTTTTAGTCGAATTATTTCGTCTTTGTATTCTCTCATATCAGATTTTGTTCCACAACAACAATTAAAATATTTTTCTTGCACTTTAGAATTCTCCCAACAAACTTCTCTTGTGCAATCTTTTGTTGTTCTTCGTAGTTCAATGTAAAACAAACGAATGCGCATTCGGCCATTTGGATATAAACGTCAAGCAGCGCATCGTTATCAGTTTGACCAGCAGTGTCATTTATTGTCACTTCTGTTTTAAATTTGTTGTTCAAAACGAATTTGTATTAATTTTCAATTGTTGGTTCGTAGTCTTCACTATCGGGTATATTACACAACTGATTAAATATCCTTGTTTTACCAGACGCAGCATCACCTAAAAATGCAACTTTAAACACGTTTTTGTCCATTTGTTGTTATTTAGTTTATTATTTAATTGATAATTATTAATATAAATATTTTATAAATAATTAATCATATTGCATCATTTTTAATTTTATAAATAAGAATAGACATAAAAAATTAAAAATTGTATTTTCAACTTTATTAAATATATTTTATTAACACAAAATAATAGACAAAATAATTTTTAATAAAGTTATGTTAAAATATAAAATAATACTATTCAGTATAGCATTAACATAATGTATTTGATATTTCAATTGTATCACGTGATTGGCTGCAACTACATATTTCCAATTAATTAACAATTCACATTATTTACAAAATATATACTATTTTTATAATGTGTTTGTGATATTTAATAAAATAAAAAATTAAACGATAAAAAGTTTGATAATCAATAATATAAATAAATATAATAAACCAAATTAGTATGTCTTGAAATGTATCAATAAATCATTCTATAGTTGTCCAAGTAAGATCAATTCTATTCTTCTTGTGTTACAATAAACAAACAAAACCATAAAAATACAAATAGTAAATATTTTAAAATATGATTTATTTAAATGTAATGCATATGGCTCTTCTCACCACAAAATCCCATGTACTTGGCAAGAAGCTTTCGACGTTCACTCGTTTTGCCCTGTCTACAAAATGTTTTCCGATTTCTCTTTGGAATGACTTGTCCTCCTTTTGTCTCACACTTAAAACATTTTTATATACCACTTCAAGCGCAAACAAGTCTCTTCCTCTTTCGCTTCGGTTTTGCTTCTCCCCGAAGAGTGCGAACAAAATATTTTGAGAAATTTGAGGCACAAAAAATCGATTTGGCCGTTTATTGACACTCCTCGCAGTCGCTTTGACTCCAAACAAGAAGTCGAGTGGCGACAAATACAACGTCTGACTCTCGCTGTCATATAAGACCTCAAAGTTCGCACATGAAATCCACTTGTAAAAGCCTGATCAACAATTTTCAATCAACAGAAAGTCGACCTCGGTGGTGTCTAAAATCAACTTTTGAGGATGTTGAATACTCGGCGACTTCTTTTGCTCAAAATTTTCGTTGAGAAGATTTAACCTTTTTGTGCCATTTTCTATAGACATTTTTTGAGTCCGTTTCTCGTCGCCACGTGTCGTTTTTGGAATTTCTCTGATTTCAAGTTTGTTGTGAGAAGGCGGAGAGAGTGATGGATACGACACTTTATTGAAATCGTTTTTAATTTCTCTTGTTTTACTTGGGAATACTAAGGGCGGAGAGATCTTGTCAATTGGCTTCTTGTTATTAGCAAAATTAGGTAAGACGGGACAGACCTTGACAGACAACGATGGAGATAGACTGTTACTTTTTGGTCTTATTTTTCATCTTTTTGTTGTTGTGGTATAAAAATGAAGTTTTGAGAATTGTTAACATCTAGTAATGTCTTTTTAGAAAGCAAAGGTTTTTCTTCTTTTGTTTCCTATGTGCCGGTTTTGCTTGGTAAAACGTCCATTTTTGTGACCCAAAATTGTCGTCGATAGTTTCTTTGGTAATAAAAGTTGTTATAGGATTTGAATTAGTAAGAAGAGCATCTATATCACTCAAAATTTCTTCTTTGAATTTCTTGAGAATATAATCAAGCACTTCACCAGTCACAAGTTCATTTTTGTCAACACAATACGGCAGAGTGTTGTTCAACTCAATCAAGTCGTCCATTTATCGAGTTATTACATTACAAGTTCATATGACCGCCAATTGATGTTTGGTTTTAATGTCAAAATTTAATGTATTAAAACAAAATAAAATTTAAATTATTTCAAATAGTACAATTTATTATTATGATATGTGTTTTTCCATTATAAAATGTTTTCTGTTTTGTTATTAAAACTATAATATAATAATTTTATTATTAATATATTAATTCTTATAACTAGTTAGTAGTTATTATAATTTATAATATATTAATAGATCCACTTCATTTCAAAGTTAATCCATTCATTTGATAAAAATTAATAACAGCTTATACATAACTAATAAACACAAATTCAACTGAAAGGATGGAAGAAGTAAAAGCGCAAATTCAAAGCCTAACAACTCTGATCACCAAGCTGTTAGATGACCCAAAAGAAAACCCAAAGGAATTAATTAAAAAAGGCGAAGAGCAAAAAGAATTACCCATTCAAGAGCAAATAAAAGAAGCTGAAAAGGTATTTGAAATACTCGATGAAGATTATCAGAAGAACTAATCTTAAAAAAGAAGTGGCAGTCACTTTTGCAAGATGTTTTGTTTTTAACAGCAATAACAAAACAACACATTAAAGATATACCAACATATGAAATAGAGTTGGACTATTCAATAGAGAAGCTGAATTTACTTTACACGGACGACTACGAAATTAAAAAGAAAAAACTTGAAGAAGATTTTAAAACCGAACTTTCAAAAATAAAAAAATCAAAACGAATGAAATTGATGAGTTGGAAAAAATTAAAAAAAATGAAGAGAAATGGAACAAAATTTCAATTTTGGTCTTGAAAACGGCGAACGTCAAAAACTTGAAGAAATAACAAAGAAGAAAATTTCCAATATTGTGTTTAACTCATTTGAAGATGACTGGAGCAAAGACACATCTGTATTTGATGATAAAATAAAAGGAAAAAGCGATCTTCTGTTTTTGATTGAAGACGACCAAAAGAACAAATTTGGAGGGGTTTACTATGGCACAATTGATAAAAGTGGGCAATGGTTGAAAAACGACACTTCATTCATATTTTCAATTGTGCGAAATGGAGAGTTAAACCCAAAGATATTGTGTTAAAAGAAGGACAAGGTGACAACGCTTTTATTTCTTGCACAAAAGACAATTCTTATCTTTTTGTATTTGGAAATGATAATAAAAAAGACATTTACTTATACGACATACCCATTGGCAAATGTGGTTTAAAATATCATAAATGTACTCCCACTAGTTACACTGCACAAAGTGGAGATTTCATTGATGGGAAAACATATACACCAAAAAGTATTCGTGTTTTCCAACTTACCAATTAAATTAATTTATTTAAATAAAAATGTTTAAAATAACAAGATCAAGACAAAAGAAATTAAACCAAGTAAAATCTTTACTAGTATGTAATAACAAACACACGTTCTTCAAAAACAATATTTAAATGATTTTAGTAATTATTAATATTCATATAAAAATATTTGTTGTGCTGTTGTATAATTTATTCAGACATTGTTTTTGAACAATAAAAAAAGCAAAAAAATATTTGTTCTATCATAACAATAAATAAAAATTATATTTCTCGCCCCAAATTTCATTTGATATATCTCATTCAAAAAGCAACAGTCAAAGTACATCAATAACAAGTCTTTGTTTTATAACTTAATTACATTTTCTCAAATTAAAAAAGTTAAGTTTACTAACGAAGCAAAACAACAACAAACGAGTCACACAAAGACAAAACATAGAGATTCAAACATTAAACAAATTTAAAAATAATAGTTTTTTATGGTAACTTGATATGTTCGTTGTTTTAGTATAAAATTTTCAACATAATTAAACTGATTATGTTCCAGATTTTTTTTATTTTACACAAAAAATAGAATTAGATACATCTTATTGGTGTGAAACTCGAAAAGGCTTGAAAGCGGACAAACTCAATTTTGTAAATTTCACTTTGAATCAGTAAATACTTTTTAACAAGAAGAATTCACCATTAAAAGTGAAAAAAAATGATCAGATTAAATGTTGTAAATGTATTTTATTGCATTTTATTAACATAAAATAATTCATTTTTATATAAATAAATAATTGTTAAATTGATACTTTATTATAATGTTAATAAAAATATAAAAATGTTTCAATTTAGTAATATCAAGCTGTTTTATTAAACGTCTGATTGTATTCATTTTGTTTTATATTGAATTATAACTTCTCTGGATAAAATCAACGATATTTATAGTTGTTTCTCTTTCTTTTGGGTTTTGTTTCCAACACATTTCTATCAGTTGATATAATTTTTCTGGAATGTTCTCTCTTCTCTCAAGTCGTTCTCCAGCAGTCACAAATTCTGCTATTTTCCACGGAAATTTGAATGTGGTAATTGGATACGCTTTACACCATCCAAACACTTCATACATTGTTATGCCAAACGAATAAATGTCTGCAGCCTTCTTATACTTCTCTTTGTTTAACACCTCAGGCGCCATGTAAATTGGTGTTCCAATACCTTTAGTGAATGTCATGTTAGTCATCAGCGTATTGATGTTTCTCGACGATCCAAAGTCAGTCAATTTAGCATTTATTTTGTCATTTAAATTTAATGAAAACACAAGTAAATTGTCTGGTTTAATGTCTCGATGTAAAATGCCGTTTTCGTGTAAATAAAAAATCCCTCTTGATGCGTCCAACATCATTTTAATTCGAAGTTTCATGTCAACTTCGTCATATGTTTTGTGTTTCATTAAATCTTGTAAACTTCCATATTGTGCGAACTCAGTGACCATACACACCTTATTTGGTATGAACACAGCTCCATAAAAATGGACGATATATTCACTCCGAAATTTGTCAAGCATTTCAACTTCTTTGGTAAAGTCATTTATTTCATCAACATCTTCTTTTAATTCCTTCATCTTTTTAATAGCCACACAATTTCCTCTAAAAGATCCTTTGTAGACAATTCCAAAAGACCCCTCACCAAGTTTCTTCTCTTCAATTAACTCGTCGGGGTCAAGATGTGTTGACATCTCAGTAAAAACGCGCAAAGTTAATTGGTTGTTGTTTGTAATTCCATCTTTTAATCCTTTTGAAAAAAGCACAATTTTATCATTAATTTTACATGAACATTTTGGTTCAACAAATATTTCAAATTCGACTGCCATTCCTTGTGATAAAGATACAACTTTGGGTTCTGTTTTGATCGTGTATTTTGCAGTGTTCTCCTTTGTCGAAAATTGAATTTTCAAATGTTGTTTCGACGAGTTGCCAACACATATCAACTCACGACTATCAGCGCCGACTTTGACTGGTTCATCAGGACAACCAAATCTAATTTCTGTTTTATTGACAACAATGCCATCGCTCAGTTGAACAAAAGAAATGTTCGAATGACTCATTTTAAAACTTGTTGTTGTTTTTGCAAGCTGTTTTTGATGTATTTTCTTTTCAATGTATTTCACTGTAAATACAATTAATAATACATATAATATCATCATTATAATTGTAAACAAAATTATAACAAGAAGTACCCACCAAACTACTTTCTTGTCACACAACGTTCCGGTTATATTGGGAGAGTGCCAGAATGCACATTTGGAGCATTTCGAGTTTAATACTTCAATACATTCTGGTACAAATGAAATATCAAGACAAAGTCCACTTTCAAATAAAACCTTATTTTTAACACAAGATGTGCATTTTTCATGTTGTGTACACGTTGTACAGTTGTTGTTACATTTTTCACACTCTTTGTCATTAATAGTGTAATATTCACTCAAACATTTGTTACACCCATTTTGTGTGACTTCAACAGCACACCCAATAATACTGTTTTGTGGCAAACACTTTCCACTCGTTGTTTTGTAATTTGTCAAATTACAAGTCAAACACGCGTCTTTTGTGTTGCATGTTGAGCAATTAGAAAGACATTCAACACAATCCATACCAACTCTGTAATACCCATCTTTGCATTGATAACACCCACCAGTAATTTGTGATATTTTGTCACATTTTCCCAACAGCTCGGTGCTTGGCAAACACGTGTAATTTTCTCCAATATAAAACCCGTACTTACATGACAGACATTTTGTATCACTTTCAATACAACTTGTGCAATTCTCAGAACATAAATAACATTTTGCAATTAACAAGTAATACCCAATGTCACATGAAATACAGCTATGTTTGTTATACAATACACATTTAGTTAAAGATGTGTCATTTATAACATTTACACAAATATCAGAGTCGTTAAGAATGTAATTATTATCACATTCCAAACATTTGTTGTTCACAATAAAAACACAATCTTCTTTTGCTAAAACACACATCCCATTTTCTTCTTTAAATGTTTCATTTGTACAAATAAGTGACGTGCATTGTCTTTCATTGGTAATAATATAATTGGTTTCACATGTGATTTTATTGCTTTTGTCACATAATATAGAGTGTATGTAGTTTGATGAACAATTGTAACAGACACCATTTGCAATGTAATAATTGTCATTACACCAAACAGTCGATATTCCATTTGAAACTCCACCTTCCATTTCAACACAGAAACTTTCATTTTTTAATATAAAGTTGTTATCGCAAATAGAACACTTCTCGTTTTTACACAAACGACAATGCGATGTGCAGCTCTCGCATTTGTCAAATGAGTTTCCGTTGTGACAATTGATGCATACACTCCCATCACTGTGTTGGCACTTGGTATCCGACACACATTTGTTTTCATTTGTTATGTAACTATCTTGACATTTGTAACAATTAGCTGATGTGCCATATGAACATATTTCTGAACTAATACATTCAGATTGTTCATTTAAAACATACCCAATTTTGCACAATACACACTTGTTGTTTTTGTTGTACGTCTCACAATTTTCGTCAAGAGGTAGACATGCTCCATCTACAAGTCGATATTTATAGTCGCACATGAGGCACGTTAAACCACCTTTTGTCATTTCAAAAAGATAACAATATTTCATTGCGTTGTTGTTACTGGCGTTTTCCAAGAATACAAAATTCTTTCCATTTTCATTGAAATTAATTTGAACGATTTGAACCAAAGTTGTGTTTTTAGAAATAAAAACATTCGTGTTTTCATACAAACAAAGTGTTTTTATACTTCCAGTGCAGTCAATATTTAATTTGGTGATGTTTTGGTTTAAAAAAAATTCGTAATATGAAGCACCATTACACGACATTGTATTTGACACAGTTGAATAAATGAATGAAGAAGAATCATCAAACAAAGAAATTTTAACTTTTCCAAAAGTGAAAAAAAACACTAAATCATTAACAATTTTTGTATGAAATGTTAATTCTACATCATCAGCGATAGTGACTTGTTTTGAACTCTTAAAGTTATAAATAGCAATACTACGATCTATCATCAATTCTGTGCCACTAAGATCATTATTAAACATGTCAAACCAATTAAATTTATTTGATAATTTGAGTTTGCAATTCACACCACCATCGTTATTACACGGACAATGTGGATAATCAAATGCACCTTCCATTGTGGTTGGTGATTTTGAAGTGTACATATTTGTTTTCAACATACAAACAACGTCTTTGTCAAGTGGTGTACCATTTGGGCAAAATCGAATTAACTTTTTATTTGAAATAAGGTACCCCTTCCCCATTGTAAAGTTGAATGAGTATTTAAACGTGTCTGATGTGATATGGGTTGGATTTGTATTAATGTCTATATTGGATTCGTTATTAAGTGAAATGACATCAAAACACTTTGTGTTGTCTGTTGGATTCGTTATATCAAATTTTAATCTTCCTTGGTAGTTATAATTGAGGTGGAGGTAAGTTGAATTCCACATGATGATTCGTGGGTTGTTTAATTCTGGATCAATCAAATTGAGGTTTCCAGCAATGGACAACTTTCCAAACATAATTGTATTTTTAATCACATGTATTGTAGCTTTTGGCTCTATGATAAGTGTTTGGTTGCTATGCAAATTGATCGTATTTGAAAAAATAGAATCTGAAGCAATTGTAAGAGTTTGAATGTTGTACCATTTTTCTTCATGTGAATAAAATTTTATGTTATTAATAATGACAAATTTATGAAACATGAATATATCAGATGAAAAATTAAAGTTTAAAGAAAAACAGATCGAATTTGTTGTTACTGAACAATTTGAAGGAGTAAATCCGTCGTCAGTGTCAGTGCCATTTGGAGTACAGTCACACCGATATCCATATGTTGCTAATGAAAATACAAAAACAAATACAATTTTCATTTTCAAATACTTGATTTACAATTATTATCAGTTTTTTTTACATTTATAATTATTTTTAATGTTATTAATACGTATTTATAAATAGAATATATAAAATTAATTTGTAATCATAGTTTTTTATAGTTATTTCTGTGTCACATTTCATTAATCAAAAATACATTGCTTTTAATTTGTCACAATTCAATATCAATTTACATGTAACATTTCGCCTATAAATAGAGTATTGTTATACAGTATGGTCATTTTATTTTATGTGAAACTTTATATTTGAAAGAAACAAGTTAAAATATATAGTTATTTTTATTATATAACCAATTTTTTTATTTTAAAAAAATTGATAAAAATAACACGAAACGAATTTAAAAACATGATTGATATATATTTTGCTATTGGAGGAAAATTATAACCACAAAAAATTGACAATGAAGTATTTTTTTATCAAGATTGTTATTAATGTTTATTATATTTGATATGTTGTGATGACTCTCAACAAATAATAGCAGTTGAAAAGAAAAAAAATATATGCTATTTAATATAATTTAATAACTTAATCAATATAAAAATTGTTTAAATTATTTAATCAACAATTGTATAAAACAATAAACACGGTGGGGTTGTGACATTTTGAAAACAATCTACGACAATAACCCACTTTCTTTTATTTTTTTTTGTTTTTTTGAGAAACTCACTACCAAGTTAACAACATTCAACACGAGTTTCTTGAAGTCGTTTGTGTTATAAACAAACCTTTTGAAACGTAATTATTTTTTGGCAACAAAACAAGCTGGTAGTAAGTATCTTATACAATTTAAAACAAAACAAAGAAAATACAAACTGATATGAGAATTTCACTTTAATCTGGCAAAAGACGTGGTGTAGGACTTTAAGCATTAAATTGGTATATTTTTTAAGTTCTGGTTTACTTGTTCAAACTTATCTTAAAGCTCAAAATAACTTTTTGCATAAGGCAGTGTGTCTGGTATTTTAAGATTTGAATTTTTCAACTATAATTATGGTTTTGTTTTATTATAATTAAATAATAAAATTCTTGCATAAAATAAAGTTTTGCATAAGGCATAGTGTTCATAGTATTATTGTTATATTATTTTAAAAGATTAAAAAATCAATTTTTTATTTTTCTTATGTTTTACAAACAAACAACAAAATAAAAACCATGAGAATGGATATTGTCATGTACAGTTAGTTTCACGACATTTTTTTATTATAATAAATAGATTTCTGTTACACAACAATACAAAATCTAATAAATCTAATATATTTATTCTATTGTTATTATAATTTAATTTCTGGTTTGTGTATTTTGTTTAATTATACGATAACAAATAAAATATAAATGTTTTGAATAATGATTATATAAAAATAATTCAATTATTTGTGTTTTTTGAATAATAATCGGGTCAAATAATTTCTAACAGGCTCGTCATAATATTTAAAAACTGCACTTGAGAATAAAAATGAAATAAATGCAACTTCAAAGTACACAAACCACAACTAAAATCCTGATTGTCTGTTAAAAACCATCACCCAAGTTGCCATTATTTCCAAGAAAGTTTTGTGCACCAAAAACAGTGGGTATGACACATCACCACAAAAAGTGCGACTTTTCTTATAAAATAATTGTTAATTTCATAGTTTGTTGCAACAAAAAGTGTAAAATGATATAATAAACTAACACACAACAAACAGTTGATCGAATTGTGTGTATCAGTAAAGTTGTGACTATTCACTTTAAAAGTAACAAAGATAATAATAACACTGACAAACGTACCAAATGGGATTTGAGGTCTTTTTCCATATTTTTCAGTCCACCACTTCTGAAAATTTGATACAATATATTCAACTACAATGCCATTGACAAAAAATAGCACTTGTTAATCCCACAAAAAACCCGCTGTCGTAAAAGATAAACCCTATATTAAAAGTCATTTTCTGATGCCAAAAACTAAACTTTAAAACCTGAAGTTGACTTAAAAAGAGTTGTAAAAAGAACCCCAAATCCACGAATATGACAAAAATAATGTGGATATATTTCAAGTAAAATGCATATATTACTGCGAAAAAATACTCGAAGAAAAGAGTCCATGATATCCCATTTGGTGCGAACTTCCAACCGTATTCCCAATTTGGAATGCAAAATATGTTAAGTAATAAATAGATAATATTTTTCCAAAATTTCATGATGTAAAATGTATAAATGCATCTAGTCAACAGTGTACCAAAAACTTGTATTGGAAACAGTCTTATAACTCGTCGCATAAGAAAAGCAAACAGATTAAAAATGGCGTTTTTATGTTGTTGTCAATTTTTATCATTTTCTTCTTTTTCTTAATTGTTTTCTTTTATGACACTTTCTGAATTTGGTGTTGTTGTTTCAGTTGCATTTCCGTTTGTTTTTTCTGTATCTTTTGCATATTGGTTTTGAACACCGTTTTGAATAACTTCTTCGGTGTTTCCAGAAATATCAACTTGACAAATTTTACTTGTTTTTTATTCAATTGATAGCTCAATATTTTCACTGTAAATTGTTTCCAATTCTCCATTTTGGTAAACATTTGATATTTTAAAACGTTGACAATTCGTTTGATTTTATCTATAAAAGTGTCAAAATTTGATCTTAACCAACTGTTTGTTATCTATATGAAATTATAATTTCTAAAAATGATTGAATAGGAAACAAAATATCCTGAAACGAGAAAAAATAAAATCCACTGCAAGGTAACAATGACTAAGTAAGTACTTTCCAGCATATTTATTGTATACTGATAAATGATACAACACTATCATAATTTAACATATTCCTCTTTAAAGTGCCACTGTTTTCAAATAAAAAATTTTGTTTTCTTTGTTTCAAATTGTGTTCCTTGAGAAGTATTATTTGAATTGGTATGTTGATGAGTTTGTTGTACTGTTCATCATTTTAAGTTTAGTTGTCGATTCAAATCAACTTTTTGATTATTAATAAAAAACCTTTAAAAGTGACCTTTTAAATTATGCCAAAAGTAATTTTAATACTTAATCATTTTTAACAAAAAGCTATAAAACACTAATATTAATATTTTATTTTATTATTTTACTGTTTAAAATATGTGAAACCGGTTTAATGAAACCCAAAGCTTTGTTTGTATAAATTACT